CAAGACCAAATGCTTTGATACCACTAATGGGTTTTATACAAACAATCATATGTGTGTATGCAACCCTAGATTCGGATCTATGTTTTCACTATTAGTTATACAACATTATGAATACAAAAATAAACCTAGCATGCTTCTAGGATTTTCAAAATGCTTTGATAAAAACTAATTGAAAACAAGACCAAATGCTTTGATACCACTAATGGGTTTTATACAAACAATCATATGTGTGTATGCAACCCTAGATTCGGATCTATGTTTTCACTATTAGTTATACAACATTATGAATACAAAAATAAACCTAGCATGCTTCTAGGATTTTCAAAATCTACATAGAAGAATAGAATACATACCTCTTGTTGTTATGTAGTAATAACAACTTGTTTCTTGAATCTCCTTGTCTTTGAAAGCAAGTACCACATGTTTAGTACCTCTAATGGCTCACAAACACCAAGAGAAAATGAAGAAGCAAGAGAGAGGGAGGAGAGATGAGAAATTCGGCTCTAGGAAGTCTAGGGATCAAGTGGCCAGATTTCCAATGCGAAAGGGTCCTTTATATAGGTGTAGGAATTAAGGTTTAAGTCCTTATCCTTATTTGGTTACTTGACAACCAAGTAGCCCATAAGATAATTCTTGAACCCTTATCATGGAAAAATTCTTAAGGCTTTATCCCTTGAATTCGTCCACCCTATCATTTAGGGCTTCCTTGCCCAACTTTGTAACTATCACATAATTACATTTCAACCCCCCTAGTTCAATTAACTTCTTTTGATCACAAAATTAATTCTTAATTAATTCTTGACCAATGTTAATAAAACAAATATGATTTCTTTTTTAATATATTATTCTTATAATATATTAATAAACCATAATAACCTCTTTCTCTAGTCAAGTTGCTTTGGTGAAGGCAACCCAAAAGGACCATGCACAACCGGGTCAAGTACTTACCAAATATGGTTACGGGCTTAGACACTAATTCAACAGAAATAGAGCGTGTGCACCTCGTATAACAAAAAATATAATGGATTTTCAAATGATATGTAATGAGAAAGAAGAGAAAGCAACATAGAAACTTCTCAAACATTTCAGTTATTACCTGAATGCCAGCATGGCTGCACAAATAAAAATCAAACTCTGGGGGGATGACAGATCTTGGAATCAACAACAATGCCTGAAGATTTTATTTAAAAAATAAATTAACTTACATTTATTAAAATAAAATTAATATATAGCATACCCAATAGAGTGTTTCCACTCTTGTCAACAGAATTACGATCATGGTGATTGTTAGCCTTATGCATTGCATCAAGCTCATACAGAATAAGTTGATAAAACTGTCGTTCACTCATACCATCCCTGCATCATTAATAAATCAATCAGAATATTTCTTTATAAACATAATCAACTCATGAATAACAAGTTCTAATGTTCCATACCTATAGAAGATGATACACCATGTTTTTTTCAATCACAACCAAATATTAGAGAACACTAAGTAATAAACAAAAAACAGAATGAGAGAGGCTTTACTTACTTGATCATGCCATTCCTTGAACAAATCTTAAATAAGTTCTTGGAGATGTTTAAAAGTTTATAATGCTACTCCTAAAAGTTCTATGAGATTGTATTTCGGGAGTCACCAACAAACCCTGCACTATTTAAAAGTTCATAATGCTAGTCCAATTTTCGTAACATCCATATAAGTGTTGGTATAACTAACTGTAAATCTTGAAGAGTAAATTTATTTTTAGAAAATGATATATACTTACATGAATGTGAGTGTTGGTATAACTGCAAACACTATCCTACAAAACAAATTTGCTCAGTATGTAGGGATTCCTGAATTCAATAATAATAAACATAAAAAAGAACTTCTTTAGGTAATAAATATTCAATGTCAGTTTTTCCTAAGCATATTGAAAATTATAACTTTATTTCTAAACATTTCAACAATAAGACACTGAAAATTAAAAAATTTTGTGAAGGAATCCTGATAAACTATGAACATGTATTACAATGTCCATCTTATAACACTTGTTCCTATGTATGTTTTGTGTTTCTAACTCGATAGCTATATTCTTGACCTAAAAGTTAAACATCGATCCTACAAAGAAGATAGGAATATAGAAGAGAAGAGTATTGGAACAAAAATACATACCAGTAATAGCAATAGGTTCGAGACATTATTAAACTCATGATTGTTGCCATTTGAAATTGAGCTCCTTGTTAAACGCCTACACTCAGTACCAAATTCGTATAAGTTCAAATCTAGAAAAAAAATTGTATGCTAATTTATATAATCTAGAAAGCAGAAATTGGAGTCAAGATGATAATCGACATGGAAGCCCTAGGAAAACCAAAATTAAAGAGTTATGGAAGGTAAAGCTTAGAAAAACGAGTGGTGATATGAGCTAGAAATAAAAGAGAAGTAAGAGAGCTCCATGGAAATCTAACTTACATACTACTAGAAACCAGAACTGGAAGCTGATGAAGACTAATTTAGACTTGCTCAAGTTTACGATCTGAAGCAATAGAGGATGAACAATCGGATCGAACGTCGTCGGTATGGAAACGATAAGTCATAGAGGAAGGTAGACAATATGAGAGGAAATCCAATAGTTATGTGATCTATGAGGTATTCCTTTGAGAAGCTTAAGTATAATTCAAATAGGCGTACTGCAGGTGGATGGTGGTGGAGGTCATTTCTTGGGCGGAAGAGGGATTTGAGTGGACAGAGGGTCGATTAGGGCTTTGTGAGGAAATCATTTTAGGGCTTTGGGAAGAAATTATAAGGAATGAAAAGAAAACGAGGGAACTAAAAAGAAAGAAAAACAGGAATGAAAATAAAACCAGGGAAGGAAAAATTAAGGAAAAGTAGGAAATTAAAAAATGAGGCTTCTAAATTCTACGAGTGATTGACGAGGACCAAGAAAAAAAAGGCCATTGATTTTTAGCAATCCGTCATTGTTCCCTCGCTAAAAAGTTTTAATTTGCGACAGATTAGCGAATGAGTGTTTTTTGTCGATAAACGCTCACCATCTGTAATACTTCTCCGAAATTCAATAAGTATTTTGGATGATATATTTATGTTTTTCGTCGCTGATCTCTCAATGAGTCATTGCATATTAGCTATAGAATGAATCTGTAGCTGATTCCGTCACTGAAGATCAGGTTACTAGTAGTGTATGTCCGGGAGAAAAAAAAATTGGATCATTAAAATTGATTCATAATTCAGTTTTAGTTTTTAATTTTGCATTATTATGATCCATAATTCAATTTTAATAATTCAAATGTGTTTTTCAATTTTTTTCCTGGACATAGATCTATGCGCCACTTTATGATTTATATTTTTTTATATATATATTTTAATTTTTTTTAAATGTTCTCACGAGTCGTCACTTTAAAATGAGTCATCACCCAATCTTATCTCTCTCTCTCTCTCTCTCTCTCTCTATATATATATATATATATATATATATATATATATATATATATATATATATATATATATATATATTCATGTTCGTTTGAGACCATACTAATTTGTGAGACCAAATGTAAAAATAATTTTAAAATGCAAAATACAAGGAAAAATCCTAAAATTCTTTTTTTAATTATTATTTTTGAAACTTTAATTACCTAAAAAAAATTTTAAAAAAATTACCGTTTTTCTAAATACATTAAATATTCTAATAAAATATTACACTGTAAATATTTTAATGTGATTTTTAAAATATTAGAATATTCTACTACATTTGTCGAATATATAGAGTATTCTAATATTTTACTAGAATACGTAAAAAACTATTTTATTTTTTATTTGGAAAATATAAATTCCGAAAATAATATTTGAAAAAAAAATTCAAAAATTTTCAAATATTTTGCATTTTAGAAATGTTTTTTATCTAATAAATGAGTGGAAATGATTGCGTATCAAGATATCATAAAATTAGGCTCTCTCTCTCTCTCTCTATATATATATATATATACTCACCATCTTCACGTTCATTATTTGTTTATTCTTCACGAAAAAGAATAAAAACGGAATGCCTAATAGCCATACCTAAAAAGTTACATATCTAAATGTTTTCCACTGATTGGCTACAAATAAGATTATATGTAGTTTATTTTTTTTAACATCAAATCTATTTTATTTATCTAACAAAACTTGAACTATCGACGTCCTTAAAGACAGATGACAACATAGGAAATCGTTGGGCTAGAAGCTTGTCATTATGATAGTTTCTAATACCGACCGGACATAGAACATGGTCACACGAATAAATGTGTATTATGATCACTTAGCGTGCTCCCTTCTTGGAAATGTAATGTCGTAAATTCACTGTTTTTGTGGTTGTGTTTCATAATAATTGATACATTGTACCTAGGTTTATTGGTCCCTAAAATATGGAATTTTAGTAAATAAAAAAGGCTTCAGGAAGATACTCATTATCTCCTTCTACGCTGTTGCCGATCATAAATAAACAAAAATACAATCAAAGTAATCATAAAATATATTATTGGTTTTGGTTGACAGAATTTAATATTTTGCTGATTAGTAGTATAATTGAAAGCAATTTCTTTAAGTTAAATATGTTCAAAAGTGAAGTTTACTTTATATTTATACAGACATAACCATTATAATTTTTCATTATGAAAAATGTCTTAATTTGGCCGGTAATTCTTATTTTAATGGATGGCATTTTCCTTAAATATTTAACAATCTTTGGCACACATATATGTTTATCCACTGACTTATTTATGAAAATTGTATTATAAACAACAAAACGACAAGTCCGCTTTTTGAATATGGTTTTCCGGATGTTGGAAAACATACGAAAACGACTTCTAGCTTATGTTGGACTGCTGATGTGAATACAGATGGGTACGGTAGCGTTTGTACAAAACTACAGTGACATTAAATTTAATAATAATAAAAGAAAAGGAAAACGAATATATATTGTGCTGGTGGAACTCGTGATCTTTAAATTATTTGTTAACAAAAGAAAACCCTACTTATTAAAGATCAAGAAGAGATAACAAGAAATCTTAAAGATTTGCAAAATGGATTTACCAAATACAAAACATAATCACATAATCTTCTCTTTACAGCAAAATGAGGATTTGGTGACTCATGATCATCCTTATCTGATTTCCTTCCATCAAGAAGGTCATACACCTGATGAACATCTTTCCATGGTGGATGGTATGTGTAAAACTAGCATCAATCTTCCTTCAAGCAGCACAAGGAAAAGGGCTGGATGCCGAGAATCCAATAAGCCTACTTCAGCTTCTACTTGTGGGGGAGGAGATGGTGAAGATGATCAAACACAGAAGAAAATGGTTCACAGGGAGATGGAAAGGCAGCGGAGGCAAGAAATGAGCCAGCTTTATGCTTCACTTAGAGGTTTACTTCCTATTGAATTCGTAAAGGTGAATTTCCATCTATTTTTTCCTTCAAATGATATCAAAGACGCTAAAAAATAGTCTATTCAATTCATGATGGAATCGGTGATTTTTAATTGGTGTTTAGGGAAACCGTTCGGTGTCAGATCATATGAACCAAGCAGTGCATTACATCAAACAAAAGGAGGAAAACATTAAGGAAATCAGTACGAAGAGAGATCGGCTTAAGAAACCTTTTGATACTAATGAAAGCTCGATGAATCAGTTATCCAATACAGTCTCAGTGAAGTTCTGCAATGGGGGAGTCGAGATTTTGATCAACAGTTGCTCGATTGAAGAAGGGTTTGCCCTTTCACAAGTACTAGATGCAGTTATGGAAGAAGGCCTTAACATAGTTAGCTGTAGCTCAACCAAAGTAAACAATCGGCTACTTCACTCTATCCGATCTGAGGTACATCCTACACATCATTCTTTATAGTTGTACGTTGTCAATTCTTATGGTTTTCTTAGTTCTTGATGATATATATAAAAGTGTAATATGCCATAAGAAAATTTCGAAGAACATTAAACTCAACCCTCATTTCATGGATTGTTTTTGCAGGTAAGTGAGAAGGCATTCATTGATCCATTAATGTTGCAACAAAGACTAGTGTTGGTAGCCAATCCTCAGTCGAATTTCATTTAAGATCGTTCTACTTACAATTTTAAAACTATGGTATTTTTATTTTCTTTTTCCAGCTCGTAGGAGATGTCACAAAACACATTTATTTGACCCTTCGCATGATTTATTTTGTTGTGCATAACATCAAAAGCTTAGTTTACATGAAGTTTGTGCCGATAAAGTAATCTTGTATTTTCTTGAAATTCTTTTGTAAATGTCTCTTTTTAATTACGTTCATCAGTAGATGTCATCGGTTGCATTAGTTGTTCTTGTTATGGAGGAACATCAAATTCCACCCTCACTTTAATGGATTATTCTTTACATGCAAGTGATATGAAAACGATTTACAAGATTATGATGTAAGAAATTAAGATTAGTTGTCATCACAAACACTGGGCTAAATTTCGAGAAAGATTGTAATTACAATTTGAAAACTAATTAATCTTAGGTTTACTTTCATTGAGATTAAAGATGTAGAAAATACATATTTGCACGTTCTTTATTAATTGGTACAAAGAATTTCCAATGGCGAGTTTACATGAAGCTTGTGCTGATTGACATCGATGTGGTCTTTTGTGTTTAATTTCTTATAAATTCTTGTATAATACTATGCGTTATTACAATGGAGCATCAAGATTTTGTAGTGGATACAGTTCCAGTTTTGCGTTTTACTTAAGGCTTGAACTAATTGCAGTTGCAGGTTCGATTTTCAAGTCCAAACAATAAGGACACAAGGATTCATTATTCTCAGTTTTGTCTATTAGAGTATTAGTTATGTAGATAAAATGATTCAAGACATGAAAATGGCAATAAAATGATCTAAGTGATTTATTAACTAGTCTTTTTCATTGCAATGGGCATCTATCGACTCTTTCTAAACAAATAATTGTGGGTCGGAAAAGCAACCATGATATGGGACATTTTTTTTATGGAGATGGCTCTCATGAAAGACAAAACCCTAGATGTGATAACTTGTTATGTAAGTTCTGCGACTATATATGATATCTGCATGCTAACTTATATTTTTTCAATTTTCTCAATGGTTTTAAATGTATAATATTATTAAATGTAAGTCTTGAATTCATTTTATAATTTGATTCATATAATTAGCCAAAAACAATAAAATCACACTCCATTAATTAGGGTAAAACCTTAAAAGAAAACCAAAAACCATATGATACACTCCAAGGGTAAAATCTTACTGAAAAAAGTAAATTAAGGAGAACAAGTTATAACTTTTTAGAACAGTTAATTCACACATCCATGTAATCGTACAGCTTTTTGTCAACAACATGACATAAACATCCAACCATTATGACAGATACATCTTATGAATATACATAATACCATTAGACATATTTTTTAGGGATTATAGATGATATTGAGGTTAGAAGAGGTATTTAACTTTGTCATTTTGTACCATTATTTATTTGGTGTGGGAATTTATAATCTTGCACAATTCTCAATGTAATTAATCAAGAATTTAAATATGATTGATTAATTACTCTTTCCAACACACGATTATTAACTTAATTAGTTAATTAAGGTTAGTCATATGATCTAGTGGAGTGTTAAACTATAAACCGATTTCAACATGTGCTGGATTCATGAAATTTAAAGGGAGTTTTAATAACTGTAATCAACTCACGTCTCGTTTCAAGCGCTTTTTCACAATTTGTTTATTATTGTAAAATATGACTTACTAGGTTTGAGTCGTATATATGAATTTTTTGAAGAGCTAACCGATTCACAAAAATAATTACAATTTTGTGGCATCCTATAAATTAGTAGTGTTACGTCACATGGGTTTTCGCTTTCATTCTTTGATTTCCGGCTGGATTTTTAATGTTTCTCCAATCCAAACAAAAATAAAGTATTTTCCATGAAGTCAAAAAGTTTTTGGTTACGAAAAAGAGAGGTTGCCAATGTAAATAAATAGTATAATGTTGTAGTCCAATAATATCTCGATCTTTGCATTAACGAAAGGGTTAAATAGATGTAGAATCTCAATGGGCTTAAACTGGACTAATACATGTGGACAAATTAAGGTATGGTCCGAATCTACAACACAAATATGCACACTAATATGTATATGTGCAATTTAAGGAGGCGTGAGCAAACATTCAAATTGTCTCTAAAATGCCGACATTTTAAAGACTATGAAATACACGAAGTTGACCAACAACCCCACTAAATTGTTAGGGACAAAGTTGTTATCCATCTTAATTTACTTCGTTCGTTGGTATTGTATATTTTTGTTAGATAGATAAACAACATTGAACGTTGTCATGGTATATAATTGTAGGCTCACCAAGAGGAGATTGAAGCTTGAAGCTCTCAAAGGAGCTTACAGATCCAACATGTCATCTATGACATTGGTAACACCTATATATTCGGATCAAGATACAATTAGTTTCCATTTGGTAGGCCAATATAATAATTTATCTCATAGAAACATGCAATAATGAATTGTGGATCAACGTAAGGAGGGGCATCTGGATGGCACCTCAAACCCAACTAACTTGGACGATGTTGAATAACACAAATTAGATTTTGGTAAAAATATGGATCTGTGGCGTAATACACAACCTCTGCTCACCATGATTCTAAAGAAATGTGACACCAATTGAGTCCTATGGACAAGCCTCAAAGAGTTATTTAATGACAACAAAGACGCGTTTGTCATCGACTTTGATAAAGAATTTTAATCGTTACTTCTTAGTGATCGATCAATTACCCTATATAGTCAAAAGATGATACTCTTATCCAATATCTTACCCAACACAAATGTACTAATGCCCACTATAGATACACAAATAGAAACTCCTATTAAATGATGTATGTGATATATGGTCGCATGATGGTAAGGTATTTATGTGAACTTACAAGGATTTGATAGAAAGATGAGTCAACAATACGATCACCGTCTATCTGAATAAGTTTAGTGTAAGTGCTCACCGAGATAGTTGTAGTATTTCATGTCGTCTTAGAGACTTCATTAATGATATTGTTGGTATATTGATTTCATAAAATAAATAAACACAAGTTGCTTTTAGTAGCCATGATTGCAAGGAAATGATGTGGCCTTTGAAGATCCTTTATGGAATACTGATATGATAGGTAGTTGATGTTACTGGATAACATGAACACTACAAGAATATCTGATTTTAATGTTTTGTAGGAAATATTCATCGAATTTTCTACAAACTTCCGAACAAAAGCAAAATCCAACAAAGTTCCTGCACATTTCCTACAAAAATAGATATACTATAGATTCCGTAGGAAAAACGTTGAAAATTTTCTACAAAATACCAAAGAAAATTAATATTTAAAATCATAGTTTTGTTTGGAATTTCTTAGAGAATGTAATAGTGGGAATTGTATCCCACATTTTATTTTTGCTTTTCCTTCTTTTTCTTTTTTCTTCCCCTTTTTTCTAATTTTTCGTTGTTTTTAATTCTTTTTTATTTTTTATTTTAATATTATGATTATTATTATTATAAATTTCAATAATAGTATAAAATTCGAATAACATTTTAAAATTAGGTTGAAATTTAAAATTCGAACAACATAATTAAATTTGGACGATTATATAAAACGGAACAAAAACAAAGTTTGTCTTTATTTATCACGGATATATTAATTAGTTCGGTATTACATTTGCGTGGTGCGTTATGCGGATTTAAAGCATTTAGTCGAGCAACTGTATACCCATGTTGCCGAATGTTCTTATTTGTATGAATGGAGAAGCCTAAACAAAACATCATGCATTGGATATGTTCATTGTAAATTAACTAATACATGATGGTTAGGGTGACTTGCAATTTATCAATAAACGTTGATGGTTTCGGTTTGTTTCTAAATGTGACACCGTAAATTTTTAAACAAACTTTTCATTTTTAAAAATCATATAATTTTCATAAACACAATTCACAACTCTCCAAAATGACAATTTATCAAAAACACATGTTCATAAATTGTATAAGCACAATCTAGGATCCTCAAAACATAATTTCGTCTTGTGTGTACAATCAAGTCGGCGCATTCATGTGATCCTGAGAATTACCTGAAACACATAACACATAACACGGTAAGTACGAAGTTTAGTAAGTTGCCCAAAATACCACACATATCTCATTAGCCTCTCATGGCTATACTCGAATAAAACCCTTCGATTAATGTGTCCTAGTGGAACCCTCCGGTCCATCTTGGGTTGATCCTCCGGTCCTAACTTAGTAAACTCATAATAATACACATCATAAATCACAAAGACATAATGTAGGATATTACAATACTCAATATAAGCATATAAGATCCTCCAGTCACACAAAGATTACTACTCAAGGTAAGTATAGTGAGATGACTCACCTCGTAAGCAAACAAATAAACCTCGTACACGAATCACCGGTCTAGCCTCTGCCTAACACATATGATAATTATCTCAAATTAATACTCCAATCACAACTCTAAATAAACCAAATGCTATTTTCTCTCTTTAACACTTAGGACGGGTAAAAGACCATTTTACCCCTCCATCGTCCCCATAATCCCTGTCTTGACCAAAATCTAAAGTCAACAGAAGTCAACACTCGAGTCAACAGTCCATGTTGACCCGACTTGTCGAGTGCATCTATGTGACTCGCCGAGTCCCCTCATTTCTTCAGAAAGGTCGTGCAAATCCAACTTAACTCGTCGGTTTGTCTCATCAACTCGCCGAGTTACACATGTCCAATCTTGTCGAGGAAAACCCTAGCCGACTCGTCGAGTCAGCTCACCGACTCGGTGAGTCCCTTTATATATATATATATATATATATATATATATATATATATATATATATATATATATATGTTCCGTATACACCAAGTCATCATAAGGGGTATGTAACATCCTAAAAATATGGGCCAAAAATTTCGTTTTTAATTAAGCGATTTGAAAACGCGTTTGTAACAAAATATCACACGATCATAATATTTGATAAAACATGTCTCGTGGCCATAAACCAAAACATAAAACATGAAAATGTCAGAGTACAAAATCCCAGAATGACTCTTGGTGCGGAAATCAAAAGAGCGTGTGTGATGCGCTGCTATCGCGCCAGCTCCTTCCCCTTGACAGAAGAGGTACCTGAAACAACAACTGA